TCCGGAGGGAAGGGGGAATGAGTCAGATGAGTGAAATCCTTTTTCGCGCTAGACCTGCATACCAATTTTGTGATGTATCGCAAACACTTTCTGCGGCACGCTGTTTGCAGCCCTCTCCCATGACCGATTCCATCTGTCGCCTTTGTAGCCGGACAAACTATCACAACTGTACCTGTAGCACGAAAAACTTATCTTCGAATCGTTTGCTTATTCGACAATTCGATACCCAGCCTTCAAATTCAACGATAACGCGTGCGTGACCATCTCGATTGTCAAAATTAGTTTCGTGCTACTATTTCTCATACTAAGTTCGATTTACGTCATATTCACAGGGGCGCTGTTTCTAAATCTTTTGATGTCGATTTAAATACGCAAACAATTTGAAGTCGAAACTTTTTCGTGCTAGAGGTACTTGCACGTTGCTTTAACTTGCAGTTTTAAATTCGAAGTTTTCGAAGTGAAATCTAGTTCTTAGAGTACAAGTATGTGTAACTTACCATATCGATGGTAAATAAGTGTAAGTTGGAAGGTTGCACCTTGGGTTTCGGTTTTCGTAGAACTCCTATCGTTCGATCTTAGAACTTAGAAGCATTTAGGTATTAGATTTAACGGTTTCACGTTTTTGGTTACTTGCCTGAGTCGAGGCTTAACCTTTTGTGTATCTAAACCGCACCTAATAACTAGTACTGTGTATATGTTACAGGAAATGTATGAAATCCGTCATTGTATACAATTCCCAGGAATTGTGTATAAGTCCTAAAATCACCCGGAAATGTGTGATGTAAATTATATTAGACACATTTTCTAGGAAAATTATACATTTCCTAAACAGCAATCGGAAATGTAATTAAGATTTCAATGAATACGCGTGGACATGCGGTGCGAGGGGAGGATATTGCATCATCCGATTACGCGGGGTCTCTATCGAATCGAATATGCTTATCTGAAATTTGTGGTTATTAATCAACCGGATCCTAATTTATTAATTACTAAAAACATCAATAAATGTACTTGTGATGATGAAATTCTTATATTGCAAAATAATATTAANGAAATGTAATTAAGATTTCAATGAATACGCGTGGACATGCGGTGCGAGGGGAGGATATTGCATCATCCGATTACGCGGGGTCTCTATCGAATCGCCAAATTTTTTGTACGCCTAGTTGAAGAACTTATAAATTTTTTTTCTAAATACGGTCAAGATATATTGTATACATTATGATTTTATTTTAAATACAGAATCTAACACAAAGGAATCGAGACTTTGGTACTTAATTGCTTATCTGAAATTTATGGTTATTAATCAACCGGATCCTAATTTATTAATTACTAAAAACATCAATAAATGTACTGTAATGTAGTTCAACGTAGAATTTTAATTTGGAATGAACCAAATTTTGAGCCTGGATCTGAAGAGGTATTGAAATTGTTATTTGGAGGAGATACATGTCTAGCAAGAATTAAATATGAGGGTGATGCAAGTATACAAAGAACACCTATTATTGTTCTATCAAACACGGATGTTATACCTAATACTTCAGCATTTACAAGTCGTGTTTGGAAGTATACTTGGAGACAAGCTGGATTTTTAGAATTTATAACAAAAAACCTCACTCTTTGTGTATGTTTTATATTATGTTAAAATATAATATCCTTAGTCGTAAGAATTTAAACTTTGAAAAATGGAATTGGATTTAATAAATAAAGCTTGTAATAAAAAGAAATAAATATGGTTTAACAAGTATATTATTCGTTTCATTTACAAAGTGTTTTTCACCTCCTTATCGCTAGGTCTTATCGTTATGTTAATATTTTTAGCCTCGTTACTTGAATCGCTTATCTGACTTGGTTTCACGCTAGGCACGTTATTATGCACAACAACAGTGTTATCGTATCGAACTTTTGGGATATTCCGTTTGATATGAAAATCAAGACTTGCTGTTAGAGTTTCGACTTTATATTCTAGTAACTTAATATTATTTTGCAATATAAGAATTTCATCATCACAAGTACATTTATTGATGTTTTTAGTAATTAATAAATTAGGATCCGGTTGATTAATAACCACAAATTTCAGATAAGCATATTCGATTCGATAGAGACCCCGCGTAATCGGATGATGCAATATCCTCCCCTCGCACCGCATGTCCACGCGTATTCATTGAAATCTTAATTACATTTCCGATTGCTGTTTAGGAAATGTATAATTTTCCTAGAAAATGTGTCTAATATAATTTACATCACACATTTCCGGGTGATTTTAGGACTTATACACAATTCCTGGGAATTGTATACAATGACGGATTTCATACATTTCCTGTAACATATACACAGTACTAGTTATTAGGTGCGGTTTAGATACACAAAAGGTTAAGCCTCGACTCAGGCAAGTAACCAAAAACGTGAAACCGTTAAATCTAATACCTAAATGCTTCTAAGTTCTAAGATCGAACGATAGGAGTTCTACGAAAACCGAAACCCAAGGTGCAACCTTCCAACTTACACTTATTTACCATCGATATGGTAAGNAATTATGGTAAGTTACACATACTTGTACTCTAAGAACTAGATTTCACTTCGAAAACTTCGAATTTAAAACTGCAAGTTAAAGCAACGTGCAAGTACCTCTAGCACGAAAAAGTTTCGACTTCAAATTGTTTGCGTATTCAAATCGACATCAAAAGATTTAGAAACAGCGCCCCTGTGAATATGACGTAAATCGAACTTAGTATGAGAAATAGTAGCACGAAACTAATTTTGACAATCGAGATGGTCACGCACGCGTTATCGTTGAATTTGAAGGCTGGGTATCGAATTGTCGAATAAGCAAACGATTCGAAGATAAGTTTTTCGTGCTAGAGGTACAGTTGTGATAGTTTGTCCGGCTACAAAGGCGACAGATGGAATCTGACTCATTCACTCATGGCGTGCAGTCCAGTATAAGTGAAAGAGATAGATATTTGGTATCTAGATAGAATGTCTAATCTACTTTAAATTTTAAGACACCTAGTTAGAGGTGTTCTTGTCTAGACCGTCGGAAAGGTCAACAACAGTCAAGTTTCTAATTCTAGTTCTTACTAATAGATTTAAGCTACGCTCCACATAATATTTACTTAACACCTTCGCTGCCAGCCTAAAAATGGCACTATTCCGTTCGGGCCATGGGGGACAATGATGGGCGACACTTTAACTTTCCGTTCGGGCCGCATCGGACAATGATGACCGCGAGTCAGACCTATGTTCAAACCTCTGTATTGAGCCGATGGACAGCATTTCTTCAATAATTAATACATATAAGCTGACCCGCGCGGCTCCCAAGATTAGTGTACGTCACGTGGTTCTCAAGTAAAGCTCGGACTTAGAAAAAAAATGTGGATAACGGTAGCGCAATGAAACATGGTAATTATACAATGCATTTTTGCAAATGTATCAACTTTTTAGCAAGATAATAACGGTTTATTAATTAAAATATATATCGTTAACTTATTTTACATAATTTATATTATGCAGGACAATAAAAAAACACTTTCATTTTTGAACAACCACTTTGTATGAAAGGTTTACAGGTACTAAGTTCTTTGTACAGCTACAAAACTTATGCCATTTAAAACCTTATTAGTGGCATAAATTATTGTACTTATTAGATGCTTACACCTAGCAGGATTGTCGAGAAAAACAGATTTGTTTAACGTATGAAAAAAAAATCTCTTATCGATACTCTATTTTAAAACTTTTTTTATTCTTCATGTAGGTCAAATTAATGGCATGTTAAATCAGCTATGTCATTTTATTTATTTTTAATTTTAAGTATATTTTTAAAGATTATTTGTAGATACTGACAAATCAATATTGTTTTGACAAAAGAACCGATCGAAAGTGACACAAATGGCCACAAAGGGGTCGGTGGCCACAACCGGGTCACTTGCCCTATATCCGTTAAGCTAGGAACCATTACACAAGCATATTTGTTGCTTATTTTATGGCTAAATGGCGCTGTATGGAATTGCCCAACGATTATTTATTTTTATTATTATTTCAGCTACACTTATGGCGTTCATAGCACATAATAATACTGCTGAGCATAGGCCTCCCATGATTGCGAGATTAACTGATTGCCATTGCCACAACCTCTATAAGCTCATCTCACCTTCTTCATCTTGGGGTGGACGTCTTAACAACGATAGCTTGGATAAGTGATACAGCTCGGTAGAGTCATCTAAAATACCTTAGTGCCATAAGATGAAAGTCTGTTGTTCTGAAAAGCGGCCTCTCACTATAGGCTTACGAACCACAAAATTGCATACCATACTATGGAGTGGACTATGCTTGGTTTTTTTATGCAATCGAATCTGAAATGAGGAGATCCTTATACGATCTAAAGTCGCATGGTGACATAGTACGATGTTTTAGCAAGCTGAAGTGATAATGGGCAGAACACATAGTAGGTACGGGACTATTCCCACCTCTCGTTCCCTCCACTGCAACTCCTGTGTAGCCAGGATCTACAGCTTGACCGCCACAAAAACCCAACCAATGAAGGTCAAGTTTGTCCCGGGGAAAAGTTAAACTGTCATTGGACCCGCAACGAAATTAATCAGATGAACATAGGAGGAGTTCGAAATTAAGGTTCGCCTTCCCTCCATTTGATTGCAAAGCGGATGACATGTGACAAAAAAAGGTTTAAAACCTTTAAGAAAAGATTATGCACCACGGACAATAAATAAAAATTAAGGGGGCCTATCTTATGAGCAATTAGCAACTACCTGCCAATAGTATTTTTCACAAAATCGCTTAAAAGCACGGAAATTTTTCATTGTCGCGACAAGATCGGTGTAATAAATTTCGGAAACTGATGTACCTATGTTGTATTGAATTAAGCATTATATCATGTTCATGTTTCCAAAGATCACACTCCCACAAGATGTGATGGGCAGACTATGTCAACCAATCGAAACGTTTGAGTTCCCGCGATTTTTAAGAGTTTATAAGCGGAGTTATGGCCAGCTTTCGCTTCTTCTTGTTTAAAGAGTGAAGTGTGCTAGACGTAAGGATTGTTGTGTAAAGTGCAATAAATTATTATACTTCTACCCGAGTTTTATATTCATCTGTGGTGTCGAGTGGCCGAAATACCTGGACGTTATTATACTGGTATGTAAACTGTCTACTAATATTTAATTAGGTATATTAAAAAACAAAGCTAGATTTCTAGCTATTTAGTAATGGCGAATTATAATAAGTCAAGCCGCAGATACATTTTTTTGCCACGGCATCTATCTATCCTCAGATTGTATAACTAAGCCACGGGATATTAAAAGGCTTCTAATATATTAATTCACCTTTTTTTAAATGCCACCTAAATATCCCAAAGAAAGTGTCAAATGAAGAACAACAATTATTATGACAAATTTTACAACATTGTAACTTTGTTTGGATTAGCTAGTTAGAGGATGGACAATTTTAAAAGTTCTCCCATTTTTGGGTTTTTCGCTTATTTGTCAAAAACTAACTAAATAAAAAAACAAGCATCTCCTAGCGATATGAATACTTGAGAATTAAAATTGATTTAATTTGTAAGTCAAGTTTTTCTAAATCTTTTATAGTTTTCAAAATATCTGCTCTTCAAAGTTTTGTAAAACATAAACATTTTGCCTTTTTTTTTTTTTTTTTTTATGTGATAGGAGGCAAACGAGCAGACATTGCCTTACAAACTATGAGGAAATAGTTGCCATAATTTATTATTAGATGACAAGTTTAGGTTAGGGTTAGGACAATGTTGTTTTACTAAGTTTTAAAAAAATTGAATTTGTTTCTACCCACAAAATTTTATAAAAATTAAATTTGTGGTTTCTTAAAAATTCGCAAAAAGATGTTAGTATGGAAATAATCAATTTTCGTAAAATTCTGCATACAAATCGCTAATTTCATAAGTAAGGACCTAGTATAAATAATTGAGAATGTTACTAGGTATGCAAAATCACTTGAAACCTATGTTACAGTTAAGCTTTTACATATACAAATACATTTGTTTTTATTTCATTCAAAAATACCAAGTACTTAGTTATGATTTTATAGGCATTCAAAGTTCGCTTAAATATCGAGATCCGCCGACGGTCACGTGACCCCGCGTGACGTACATTCACAGTGGCCGCTCACTATAAAACGGATATAAACATACTTAAATACATTTTTTTTGTAAATACATACTTATTATACATATTAACACCCAGACCCATCACAGAAATTAAAATTGAACCAAACCCAAACTTGATGCGATTGTGTCGTTTTATTGCGAATTACCTTCCAGCTCCATCATCAGACCCTGATTACTATATAGAATTAAAGTACTCATCAATACAAAACTAACGAGCCCAAACTTGATGGATTTAAGTCGTTTTATTATAGAGTTCCTATGGCCACCTTCCAGCTCCATNTCATTCCTAATATAAACCTATTTATTGCAAACTAGCTGACCCGGCGAACTTTGTTCCGCCTTAATGGCAATAAATAAACAGACTTTTTTTTTATTTCGAACGGGATAAAAAGTATCCTATGTCCTTCTCCTGGCTCTAAACTACCTCCCTGATAATTTTCAGCTAAATCGGTTCAGCCGTTCTTGAGTTATAAATGGAGTAACTAACACGACTTTCTTTTATATATATAGATAAATAATTTGAATTTGAATATGTACCTAAATAAAATTATAATATTGGTAGAAGAAAAAAGAGACACGAGTTTCATACATTTCATACAAAAAAAGTATTTAAGTATGTTTAACATAAAACTTTCCGACAGTTACGAAAATATTACTTTATTACAGCTGAATTTCTACAGAGAAGTGATTTATAATGGAATAGGTCTCTGCTCGCATCTTGGTTCGCGTGGGTTTCGTTAAATGTAAATTAATGATACTAAGTTTCGAAATCCATCTTGTAGTTTTTTCGTAAAGGAGTAAAGTTATCAATCCATCGTCATCTTATGAATAAGTTGTAGATCATATTGTGTAGATAGACAGACATTTAAAGTTTTTTGCGCCGCGCTGCCTCTTCTCAGCAATGGCATAGGTTTTACGCCCGTATACACAAACATTATGAGGCTATGAGGTCTCACAGTTCGCGTAGACGCACAGGGTGACACACGAACCAATCACATAGCTCCATTCAACGCTGTGCGTTCGATTTTCTGCTTCCCTTAAGCGAGTTTAAGAATACGGGCGTTAGTCTCGAAACTGTGACAAGATTAATGTAATCCCATCAAAAACAATACTTGTCAAAAAAACCAAGTCTCGCAACTCAGTTGTTCTACGGTAAAAAGTTGTGAGATCCATGTAATACCAAGTCCAGGCCAGGAAATCTTTAACGTTTTACATAAATTATTGACTTGGCCATCGCACTAAATAATTTAATTTACACGTGTTTTCATGCGATGGCCAAGTCAATATATTTATGTAAAACGTTAAAGATTTCCTGGCCTGGACTTGGTATTACATGGATCTCACAACTTTTTACCGTAGAACAACTGAGTTGCGAGACTTGGTTTTTTTGACAAGTATTGTTTTTGATGGGATCTCATTAATCTTGTCACAGTTTCGAGACTAACGCCCGTATTCTTAAACTCGCTTAAGGGAAGCAGAAAATCGAACGCACAGCGTTGAATGGAGCTATGTGATTGGTTCGTGTGTCACCCTGTGCGTCTACGCGAACTGTGAGACCTCATAGCCTCATAATGTTTGTGTATACGGGCGTAAAACCTATGCCATTGCTGAGAAGAGGCAGCGCGGCGCAAAAAACTTTAAATGTCTGTCTATCTACACAATATGATCTACAACTTATTCATAAGATGACGATGGATTGATAACTTTACTCCTTTACGAAAAAACTACAAGATGGATTTCGAAACTTAGTATCATTAATTTACATTTAACGAAACCCACGCGAACCAAGATGCGAGCAGAGACCTATTCCATTATAAATCACTTCTCTGTAGAAATTCAGCTGTAATAAAGTAATATTTTCGTAACTGTCGGAAAGTTTTATGTTAAACATACTTAAATACTTTTTTTGTATGAAATGTATGAAACTCGTGTCTCTTTTTTCTTCTACCAATATTATAATTTTATTTAGGTACATATTCAAATTCAAATTATTTATCTATATATATAAAAGAAAGTCGTGTTAGTTACTCCATTTATAACTCAAGAACGGCTGAACCGATTTAGCTGAAAATTATCAGGGAGGTAGTTTAGAGCCAGGAGAAGGACATAGGATACTTTTTATCCCGTTCGAAATAAAAAAAAAGTCAGTGAGTGACAAAATTAAGTAACTTTGACCCGTTATAATTCTTAAACTACTGGTTCAAATTGAATGAAATTTTAAATATACCGTGTCTTTACAATGCCTGCATAGCTAATGAAAATTCAGCCTTCTAGTTTTATCCACAACGAAGTTACAGGCAGTCGAAAATGGCCTGAATTGCTTCGAGAAAAGGATGGTACGGCCGTGCCGCTTTTTTGCTAGACTTGGTGGGGGCACTGCCGTGCCCCCAGATAATAGAACCTGCGTTTTTTAACATCTAGGTACCTACTTCCCGAGAAACTACTTTTCATGAGACGATTCACATTATTATGAAATCATCAAAAATTTTAATGTGTTTTTTCATTGTCCACAGACCAAAAATGAGGCTGACAATCTCACTTCGCTTCTCCCACTTCTTCGTGCTGCTTCTTTCTGCAACGTTGTCGAACGGCAACGACAGCGAGCTGTTGACCTCTGTAATCGATTTAGTCGAGTTCGACTACACCGACAACTGTGCCGACAGGGCGTCGGCAACGTGGGACGCGCTTATTGGCAGCCCTAAGGGCTTGCAAACTAAGGTTAGTGACACACTTTTTCTTTGAATACTATTATGCCATTCATGAATGTTCAAGTTCACGTGATTACCAAAATAAACGTAGCCTAAAAAAGTTTATTTATTTATTTAGGTACAGCAACATAATACAAAATAGATTTTACAAATAATTTAGATTACAAGTTATAAGAAAAAATATTAATTGACTAAATTAAACTGTATTACGTTTCGCAGGAAATACATAAGTATAATTTAGTACAAATCTAATATTAAACTAAGCTAAATCAACTTATTTGGAAAAAAGTAACACGCTATACTAATAATTTATTTTTGCCATAAAAAGTCTAGAGAGTGGTACTTTGACAATAAATAGCTCTTTAAGGCTGAGTTGCACCACCTAACTTTATTTTATTTTATTTTATTTATTTAATAGGACAACCAACAAGACATACACTGGTAGATAATCAATATTTACAACTTTGACCGTAACTATGACGATAACCGGTGGTTTTTGTATGAAATTTTACAGATTTTTGACGTTGGTCAAAGTTAATGTAGGATGGTGCAACCCAGCCTAAAGTGTGACGGTTAAAATGTATTAAATAATGTCAATTCACATGTAATCATATAGTAGATTAAACTGAAACCTAATATGAATATTAAGCGTGAATACACTATCAAATAATATTGGCATGATAATATTACACACTGAAACATCACGGATACGAAACCATTTAACAACTTCTCCGAATTTCGTTTAATAGCAACGTTTATGTTTCACTATCATTAACGCGTGGCAAACAAACTGAGCGTTTTAGGATCGCATTTCACTTCCTCACAGCCTAGTGTTGTAAAGGTATCGATATTACGAGGCTGCTTGAGACCTACAGAGACTTGAGTCCTGAAGTCTTAAGACTGGAGACTTGAATCCTTAACTCGTGGAACCCTAAGTGGTCGCATGAAGCCTCGCCAACAATAGTTTTCTATTGTCCCGATTCGCTGGTACCTACTTGAAGTCATAAGACTTGAGACTTGAATCCTGAAGACATTGCCAGTTTGAACATTAAACTCTCGACTGCTCAAACAAGGTAAACTCGTGAGCAGCTTCGCAGTATTTACAATATACACGCCTTTATACTAATGGGACTTAGGGTGGTTTCGACCAAACAAGAGTCGTCAGTTTTGACATATTTCCCATACTGAAACTGTCAATGTGCCAGTTATACCAGGCCTGTTCATCTCCGCGAGTTTGCATCGAAAACAAAACACGCGCGACTACCCCTCCTGAGGTACCAAATCGACAGGACAATCACGAGCGAGTATTGACGCACGCACGTATTTTTCACCCATTTGCATTGTATAGCCTGACCAGGAACATAAAAACCCTGGCATAGAGGCGCGTCAATTGCATTTGATAGTGCAACACTGAGTACAGTCGTACCTGTGTTAAATTAATAGGCTAACTTTATGTATCAGGATTCAGGATTACGGGCTAATTTGATATTTTCATAAATTAACGAAAAAATATTATTACAGGTAACCTGGTTTAAATAAATTAAATGAAACCATCAATCGAGGTAGTAAGATTTATTTTATTATTCATCAATAATCAAATTCAGAACTTGAATATTCAACTGCAATGTCTGCTCATGAACGCTTCAAACTCGGTACTTCTTTCCCAATTCCATAAAATTCAACACTTAGAAAGTGACAAAAAACTTTAAAATAGGTAGTTGAAACAAACCACAGCTAATTTTCATAGTGGACTGTACTATACGATAAACATGTCAGTCAATTTGACAACCTTTGTTGGAAACATTATTCAATGAAAATATTGTCCGAACCCTTGGTATTTCTCTTCGACAAATACTTTAACACATTGTGAACCACTTTTCTTTCACGACTATAAAAAGATTTTAGCAATTTCATTCACAAAATCAATTGCGCACATTTAAAATAAAGTTTGTTTACACTTTGACAGCAATAGACTGACATGCAAGGTGACATGTCAATGAAGTTTTCAGTTACTGTTGCCATTAAAAGAAATTAGTACCATTAGTTTTCCGCAACATGGCGAGGGTTTTTATGTTCCTGGTCAGGCTATAAAGACATTAAACCATATGTAAAAACGGTGGTGCAATTAATACTGTGCAGTATTTTTTAACTGCCTGAATAATATTAGAAACACAAAATATAATTCATGCTTATTCATGTATTTCCTCCGCCATTTTTTGCAGTTTGGCACCTCACGTCACACATCATTTTACCGAAGTCAGCCCTATGTCTTCGGCGCAGTACCGATCACTGACGTTTGTCAACAAAATGGTGCTCGACTCTTGAGACAAGCTAAATTACACCATATTGTTAACGACATTGAGCATAATTTTTTTTAAATACCTTCGCGAAGAAAATCTTCTGTACGAAGTACTTATTATTATTCTGTGGTTATACCAAGAGTTATTTTCGGATAAAAGTTTGGTCGAATCGGGCCTTAATCATAACTACGAGATGTCCTGTTTTGCTTTAAAAAAAATCAGGTAAATTTAGTAGATAATTACTAAAAAAATACTTATGAAATACGACCAAAAAGCTCAGTTATTTTTATACCTTAGTTACTTAACCCTATGGGCTAAACTGTATGATTTATAAATATTTATTTTTCACAGTTGGAGCGCGACAAAGAATACAAGACCTTCGTAAAGCAGAACCTTGAAGACCTCAAGACTATCACGAGGCATTCGTGGACACAGACTGATGATTTGCTGAAGCGTAAAGTGCACCTACTGCTGCAGCCCGGTGATGTTTTGTTGGACAGCGACCAATGGATAAGAGTGAGTTATAGTTTTCGTACGCTAATACTTATTTTCCGTCCTATAAGTGAATGATACCTGATCTTATAAAGGTAGCAGGAAGGCGCTAGATGCAGGCTGCCACAAATCGGCCATTTTGGAATTCATTGGGGGAGGCCTATGTTCAGCAGTGGACGTCCTATAGTTGAAATGATGATGATGCTGATGGAGTAAATGATACCAGCACGGCTTCACCGGCAGGGACTTCTATCAATTAAATGTATGTCGATAGATCAGACAGTCAGTAACAGTTGCTTTTTAAAACTATTTATTCTAGATAGTACCTATACGTACATTAACGTATCTACATTTCACATGCAGAAATTTTATAAATTGGAATTTGAATTTATTTTACTAAAAGAGCAATTTGCAGTTAAACATCAAAGCTACAAGAGCTGTTCATTTTCTGCCATTCGCATGTATTTTCATCTAAAATTCAGATCAGCATTTCAAAATTCTGAAACCGTTTCATTTACCTGTGATAAATATTACGAGTACACGGTCTTACAATTAAGATGGGTTCAGTAGTCTTACTTGTGAAGGACAAAAAGATTCAGGTTTCATGTATTTTTAGCTTTGGTAGACTTACCTATTTATTTCTGTAAAGGTAAAAAGTTGTCCACATATTATGAGTATGTTAAGTAATGAGATGAACCAGTTTAATCTTGGAGGAGTATTTCAAAATAGAAATAAAAGTGATACTAGTGGTTAGTTAGTGGTACCGTGGTTGACTGGCAGAGAATGCCATCCGGCATTAAGTCCGTCACAGTGCATTATATGTATGTATGTGCTAAAAGATTAAATAAATAAATAAAATAAATACTATGTTATGTATGTAGTATGGAAACCTGATGAGTAAGTTAAAATGTAGCCAAATTTTCAGTTAGTTAATGTGCTATCAAACAATTTAAACCGGGTCAGTAGTTATTGAGTCTTATTAAAGTTAGGTTATCTACAGCCACAATAAAAGTCTAGTATTTCTTTAACTAATGCAACTTTCATAAATTTCATTGACCTTAAATCAGACTTCTACTGACTGCTACTTAAATTACATCATGCTGTGTAACAAATCTACTGATTACAATTTCATTATGATCCTGTAATAAAATGATTTGGTTATTTTTATTGCTATAGATAGGATAACGTAATTCCACATAAATCCTGCGTTTTATTTATGAGATGGCAGCACGGGCGCGTCCCGGGGGATATATTGCTTTCCCGTTACCTTTACACGTACTATCGGTTGGTAATTGCTTTAAAAGTTATTAAAGCCTGGTCCGTGATCACGTAGAATCCCGTCCAATGACCCCAAGCTACCCTGTTGCTGTCGCGCTCGCACACTCACTGCGGGCGCCCGTCGCACAGTCGCGACAGCAATATAATTACGCGCGAGCGATAGGGATGGGTAGCTTGGGGTCATTGGACGGGATCCTACGTGATCACGGACCAGGCTTTAATAACTTTTAAAGCAATTACCAACCGATAGTACGTGTAAAGGTAACGGGAAAGCAATATATCCCCCGGGACGCGCCCGTGCTGCCATCTCATAAATAAAACGCAGGATTTATGTGGAATTACGTTATCCTATCTATAGCAATAAAAATAACCAAATCATTTTATTACAGGATCATAATGAAATTGTAATCAGTAGATTTGTTACACAGCATGATGTAATTTAAGTAGCAGTCAGTAGAAGTCTGATTTAAGGTCAATGAAATTTATGAAAGTTGCATTAGTTAAAGAAATACTAGACTTTTATTGTGGCTGTAGATAACCTAACTTTAATAAGACTCAATAACTACTGACCCGGTTTAAATTGTTTGATAGCACATTAACTAACTGAAAATTTGGCTACATTTTAACTTACTCATCAGGTTTCCATACTACATACATAACATAGTATTTATTTTATTTATTTATTTAATCTTTTAGCACATACATACATATAATGCACTGTGACGGACTTAATGCCGGATGGCATTCTCTGCCAGTCAACCACGGTACCACTAACTAACCACTAGTATCACTTTTATTTCTATTTTGAAATACTCCTCCAAGATTAAACTGGTTCATCTCATTACTTAACATACTCATAATATGTGGACAACTTTTTACCTTTACAGAAATAAATAGGTAAGTCTACCAAAGCTAAAAATACATGAAACCTGAATCTTTTTGTCCTTCACAAGTAAGACTACTGAACCCATCTTAATTGTAAGACCGTGTACTCGTAATATTTATCACAGGTAAATGAAACGGTTTCAGAATTTTGAAATGCTGATCTGAATTTTAGATGAAAATACATGCGAATGGCAGAAAATGAACAGCTCTTGTAGCTTTGATGTTTAACTGCAAATTGCTCTTTTAGTAAAATAAATTCAAATTCCAATTTATAAAATTTCTGCATGTGAAATGTAGATACGTTAATGTACGTATAGGTACTATCTAGAATAAATAGTTTTAAAAAGCAACTGTTACTGACTGTCTGATCTATCGACATACATTTAATTGATAGAAGTCCCTGCCGGTGAAGCCGTGCTGGTATCATTTACTCCATCAGCATCATCATCATTTCAACTATAGGACGTCCACTGCTGAACATAGGCCTCCCCCAATGAATTCCAAAATGGCCGATTTGTGGCAGCCTGCATCTAGCGCCTTCCTGCTACCTTTATAAGATCAGGTATCATTCACTTATAGGACGGAAAATAAGTATTAGCGTACNTAAGTTCTTCGCTAATGTAGGAAAAAATCTGGCTGAAAAAATTGACTCTTCAAACCAAACAACGTTTTCTTCTGTCCCTAAAATGTCTTGTGCCGTCCCATTCTCGCTTGTAATGTCGCCAGCGGACGAAGATGAGGTTTTAAAACTCATTATNGGTCGGGCTATAACACAAATATTCTGCTTTATCATCTTACATTACAATAATCTCATGAGGCTTTTATTCAGGACAGGCGCAACCAAAAAAATAAATATTACATGTCAATGTTATCAATATTGAAATTTAGATTGAGTTATACATAATATTTAGCGCTAAACTCTGTGTGAAATTGACATATTAAGATTTGACAAGAATACTTATCTTAAAAATCTGAAACATATCTGAAGTCTCGCTGACGTTGACGTCTCAAAAACGCCGTCTCATGCCGCTCCTATACCTCAGCCACTGAGTCAAGCGTTAGACCTTCAAAGTATATTTATTTACAAGAACTTATTAATATAAATACTAGGCACTCCCATGACTCGTAGCCACGAAATTATGTGACGCTTTTTGCGTCCTAAATCATGAAGCTTCTATACTAAATATTTTTCATTTGTCTAAGAACCTTAAGTTTCATACATAAATTATTAATGTTAATTCTAATATTAGGCTAGACCCCTTGAGAGGATGCGGTCGTAAATATTATATGCCTACGTAGGCGGGTCAACTTAGAAGAGGAAATCTAGTAAATCTTAGATGTGGGTGTCGAAATCAATAATAATTAATAGAAAATGTTGGTTACAGCTGGTGACGTTTGCGGATAAGGCGCAGAATAAAATAAGGTTTGCGACCAACTACGACTGTGGGTCGAGAACTTGCGCGTTGCGAGGTAAGATTAAAACACTGCGGAACAAAAAAAATAAAAAAATCTGCGGCATCTATTTTGTTAATGAATTTTGTAAATACTTGTATTAGACATAAATGGTGTGCATTTACTTTCTTTGGATTGACTCTGGTTCTTGAGATAAACGAGACACAAGAAATCAATGAAAAAAATTAAACGACCCTCCCTAAACTTATATTAATTTGATTATACCCACAAAGTTTTATTTTCTACTCATGTATTAGTGTAGTTGTAGTTACAACAATTTAGTAATCAGCTACTAGACCTTGAAATTAACAGTTTGTGTGTTTTAAATTAATTTTTAAAGAGCTTTTTTGTCTCAAAAATTTGAGTTCATTATGAAAACCTTGCGTTTACAATCCCAACAGTTTTTGTTAATACTTGGCTTCTAAAATTACAAAAGCAAAGAAATAAGATCACGGAGGTAGTGATAAAAACCTACCAAGCATACTGTCTTATAAAACTTCCATAAAATAACAAATATTGGAGGTCCAATATCGTCTGCAAGACTCGTGAAGACTCTTTGCCATACTGGAGTCAAGCTGGACGTAAAGGACTTCAATTTGGAAAGCCAAAGATATGAACTGAGCTTTCTAATCACTAAAATGATCAATAGTCAGCCAAATTAAAGTCCTGTACGTCCTGAAACGTCCGTTTGAATACGGAAAAAATAAATTCATTGACCGCAAATCCGTACTCTTATTAAGACACTGTATTTGTAAACCACATAACACAAATTGAATCTGAAGCATGGCTAAGCTTTGTTTTAGTAATCAAACAATATTTGGGGAGTCATAGAGCACCAGACTTTTCAGAATTGGTTGTTTGAAAAATTTAACACATAAGGATCTAATTTGAGTATTATTTTTTTTTAACAATAGCCATATGGACACGTTCTCCCATAATCTGGGTGATTACAGTGAGGAATAAGCAGAACGGTTCTACCAGAACATCAGGACAGTGGAAGAATGATATCCACGGTCAATGGGACCGCCAGATGATGGCTGATTACTGTTGCCATAATTATGGAATTTTCCTGACCAAAACCATAACATAAAAGCTTACAGAAAAAGCTTTTTGTAGTTTTTTTTTCTTTTATTTGATGAAAAGCAAATATATTTTTAATTTTTATATCGTTCTTAAATAGGATCTTAGTGTAAATATTTTTTTTATACAGATTGCTATTTTTATTTGGGTTTTTTTCATATAAATAGTTAATAGTATTTATCTCAAGATCTAGAGTCAATTTGACAAATCTAATATTTTTCTAGTATTCAGCACACTAGTCGCATACAGAATTGACTCTAAACTACCATGCCGCAAAATGACTGTTCCCCAGTGAAATTAACCTTTAACATGAGCTTTTAGAGTTCACTTTAGATCAATCATCTACGAAAGTGCTAAAGCACATAAGTAAGCTCGCAGTGCTGATGGCCGCTGGGGCATAAAAGTTCTGTGTGTGAGTGACGACTACTGGCCGGAAGACGTAGTGTGGGCAGGCCCCCTATCAGGTGGACCAACGACCCGGTGAAGGTCGCCGAAAGTGCCTGGATGCTGGTAGCGCATGACCGGTCGTTGTGGAAAACCTTGGGAGAGGCCTTTGTCCAGCAGTCGACGTCATTTGGCGGAAACAAACTATTAATCTGGAGCCTCAATCTATGAACAAACTAAGCATGTATTACGGATATAGAATGGACGCATGTTTATAAAACACTTTAGATATTGTTTTTAAAACGCGCGCTATTTCACTTCACACGTAGTAGGTATCAATAAAATTAATCACGTTGATCAGTAATACAAATATTTTTATATTCGGTTATCCGTCACTAAAACACCCACGAATCCCAAGAGACAGCACTTTGATTACACTCTATTCACAGTTATTACAGAAATTCATAAAATAAAATCTACAGACACGTTTCAATAAAAACAAACAGGCCTCTTTTGAAGCTGTTTCTTCAATCTCTTTGTTTTTAAATGTCTGATATCTTTTATGATATAAATTCTATCTTTGACAGAGTTCCACAAAAGTTTCGCGAAGAAACAATATAGAGCAGTGTTGAAGAAAATGAAACAATCATGGGAGAGTAACCTGCCAGACATCAACGAATATGTAGAACAAATCCTGCCTATTCTAGGAAATGCATCGAAAGGTACAGAAAAACAATAACTTTTACAACTTGTAGTTACCATTACAGCAATTTTGTAACTTCTGAAAGTCACAAATATTTGGGGAAACATTTCCAATGATTACCAATTTAGAAGCTAAGGTTGTTTTCACTGTTCATGACACTTAAATTTTTCCTATATACGAGGATAAAATTTATCTTGAATTTCTTCCTACATCATGTTCTTTTAACACCCTTTATTTTACTTCTATGTAATCTAAGAAGTCGGTTAAAAATACGTACCTACTGTTGATTTTTATGTAAAGCTAGAAGCTTTTATTTAGCTATACCACATGTTGTCATAAGTTTTTTCAGTTTTACCATAATGTCGTTACATTCCGTTGTTTTCTTAATAAACCAACATAAATAGTAAGACACAGACATTATTTATTAACCAAGCCATTATTTCCAGATTACAAGACTGTGGAAGAATACTGGGACTCCTTAGTAGAATACGAGGGCGCCATACAGAAAGCCCGCGAGCTTTGGGAAGGGGTGAAGCCTTTGTACGTAAAGCTACATAAGTACGTGGCCTTGAGCTTATTGGGCGACAAGGGGGTTGGGGGCAACTTACCGGTTCATTTGTTAAGTGAGTATATAAAAGACTAGCGGCCGCCCGCGACTTCGTACGCGTGGATCCCGTTTTACCCCCTTAGGGGTGGAGTTTCGTAAAATTATTTCTTAGCGGATGCCTACGTCATAACATCTACTTGCATGCCAAATTTCAGCCCGATCCGTCCAGTGGTTTAGGCTGTGCGTTGATAGATCACTATATCAGTCAGTCAGTCCTTTTACTTTGTACTACTACTACTAGTACCTTTGAGTTTTATTATAATATAGAAATCGAACTTTATATACACTCGCGAGCAAAAGTATGGAATCAATTACATGAAGTTGTTTCCACGCGATCTTGTGTACTAACGAATTTGTTAGTAACAAAAAAGTGGCACCATTTTAAAGATTAAACTTTTAACTTTAAATTGATACCAAATTCGTTGATTCATACACATCTCCGCTTCTTTTGACACTTAGGTAAAGCGCCAAAAAAGCGGAGATGTGTATGGATCAACGTGTGAAAGCAAAAATCCGAAAACACGTGCTTTTATAGAGGGTAAATAGGCCGCAACTCGCGACGTTCAAACAGTTGATACTTGTCTTTTTCCGTACTTCTTCACATCAGCGGGGATACCTTTTTAAATACTGGTGTGATTTAAATGAATTTGGTATCAATTTAAAGTTAATAGTGTAATCTTTAAAATGGTGCCACTTTTTTGTTACTAACAAATTCGTTAGTGCACAAGTTCGCGTGGAAACAACTTCATGTAAGTGATTCCATACTTTTGCTCGCGAGTGTATTATAGACTTTCCTTCAAGGTTTATTGCCGTAGCTGCTAAACCTAAATAATTCTAGCATGTCATCGTAATGACGTGTGGTGTGATAATGGCCTGCCGGTGAAACACACATCTCCCAAAGTATAACTAGAAAAAAATAACTAATTTTATACGTAGCTCATTCGTTAGCACAAGTTCGTGTGTTAACACTGTTTTTTTTATTTTTTAGTGCTTCATGTAAAAATTATTAAATGGATAAGTTAAATCTCCGTAAAAGATAATTACCTAAGTAACAACCCAACATAATAAAACAATATTGATATTTGATGCTTAGTTTAGCTGTAATTAAATTAACCCATTACTAAAGCTTTATTACTATTTTTTGATGTTTTGTTACGATAACCTTAGAAATCTCAATTATTGTTACTCATACACTTAAAATTCCTATCAGTCCCACTTACATAAGCGGTATCATCAGATCAGACTAAAGATCAGACAGCGAATTTTGGCCGTTACCAAAGAAACTAGCAGTAACGATTTTCCATGTCAAGCATAATATAGCCGGACCAGGAACATAAAAACCCTCGCCATGTTGCGGAAAACTAATGGTACTAATTTCTTTTAATGGCAACAGTAACTGAAAACTTCATTGACAGGTCACCTTGCATGTCAATAATTAAACTGTCTATTGCTGTCAAAGTGTAAACAAACTTTATTATAAATGTGTGCAATTGATTTTGTGAATTAAATTGCTAAAATCTTTTTATAGTCTTGAAAGAAAAGTGGTTCACAATGTGTTAAAGTATTTGTCGAAGAGAAATACTAAGGGTTCGGACAATATTTTCATTGAATAATGTTTCCGACAAGGTTGTCAAATTGACTGACATGTTTATCGTATAGTACAGCCCACTATGAAAATTAGCTGTGGTTTGTTTCAACTACCTATTTTAAAGTTTTTTGTCACTTTGTAAGTGTTAAATTTTATGGAATTGGGAAAGAAGTACCGAGTTTGAAGCGTTCATGAGCAGACATTGCAGTTGAATATTCAAGTTCTGAATTTGATTGATGGTTTTATTTAATTTATTTAAACCAGGTTACCTATAATACAATCTTTTTCGTTGACATATGAAAATATCAAATTAGCCCGTAATCCTGAATCCTGATACATAAAGTTAGCCTATTAATTTAACACAGGTACTACTGTACTCAGTGTTGCACTATCAAATGCAATTGACGCGCCTCTATGCCAGGGTTTTTATGTTCCTGGTCGGGCTCTAACTGTCACTAACCCGCCCCAGGGATGTTACGCCGTTTTATTGCCAAACTTCCCTCAGCTACGTCCTATCCCTAATTTTCTTGTGCCAGGGAACGGTAACCTTTGGCACACAAATAAGGATGCCGCTAATGAATAAATGGTACTAAATGGTTACTAAAACTTGTATAGAACGGGTAGCATGAGCGTGAATAAATGAATCGATGCATAATGTTGATTGGTTTTTGTTAAAGTTTAAAGGTATATGCGCACCATTACCGTGCTTTCGTGGGGCGTGAAACCGTAGTGAGGCCCGGTTATTTGTAATCCGTTTCATGTTTCATACAAAGAGCTCATGCCACGTAGCGTAGTAAATATGTATACAGGGTGAGGTTTTGTAAAACAACGCCGCCCATCACAGGGGGGGGTGGTACATTTATGAAAGTAATTACAAGAAAAATATATCAATAAAATTTTATCTATTACTTTATTAGTAAATAAACTTATTCAAACATCTAAAACTTTCGAGACGGCGCTTGTTACCGCCCGCACCACCCCCGCGTGCCCCGCTTCACCACCGAGCTCATGCGGCCGCCGCTCCGGGAGAGCGGGGAGACTGGCCGATAGCTCGCCCGCGTAATAATACCATTTCCTGATTTCATCGAATTTTTCATGAACATTTAAAACATTTTTTTTGGCATGAGTGTTGTGTATACCACCCCTGAGATGGACGTTGTTTTACAAAACCACACCCTGTATATTTTTACAACATCGACTAATAAAATACGTATCAAAATAATGTAATTTCTTTTACAGGGTCGCTAAATGGTGACGACTGGTCCAATGTGATAGACAGTTTGTTGCCCAAGCACCCAGCAGTTTACCGGAAAGTTGCTGCGAATCTGCAAATAAAGGTATGCCGAAGTCAATTTACTTCTTAATCTCAGTAAAAAAAAATAGATGATTAATTTAACTGTTTTCTTTCAACAGAATCTCGGCGGAGAAAACGCTTTCAAAGCGGCAGCTAACCTCATCAAAGAACTGAACCTTGGTGAGATCAAGCCAGAGATATGGCAGATATCAGTGTTCAACAGTTCCTGCCCTCCCGTCCTCGTTGACTACTGCAAACCCAACAAAATGAAGGTGGTCACGTGTAAAGACGTCAGTATAGGAAACTATTTGGATGCGCACGAGACTGCCATGAAGATCGCTTACAAGCAGCTCACTGCTTCATACAGTAACAACACTTTTATCCTGAGGGAAGCCCCACGTTACTCGGGTAAGTGTAATATAAATCCTAAGGACTCTAAGTTATTAAGTCCCTTTACAATTTAGTTTCTCATGCATTCGTATTCGTAATTCGACAGACAACCTGAAAATTCCGGTTCTAAAATTGAGTAAAAATTATGTTAAAACAACTTCATTTATCTTAAATTCATGCTATTAACTAGTCTAATAATGAAATTCAAAATCTATTTTGAACTTATAGTAATTTATTAAACTTTTAAGTAATTTCCCCAACTGGAGCTTTTAATGGCAAAATTCTTATTTGTAGTAAAATAGGTATTTAAAGTTTAAATGTACCGTTTAAACACCGGTTCAGCAGAACTTAATCTAAAGATGTTTTAGGTGTTTAAAAATGCTATGAAGCTTATAACATTTGCATGAAAGCGTAGAACGACCCGGCTAAAAACCTACCCGTTTCTTTAAAACGTACGACCCGCGCACGCCCCATAGCAGTGTACAACTACCTTTAAGCTTTCAAATAAAGTATTTAGATAGGTATTTCAAAGAGGTTAGCGTTGACAGCTGTACCACAAAATATAACAGAAGGTAAACTCATGTATGTACCTCGCTTTGCATACCTCGCTCGCTCGCACGCTCGGCCGTCGCGCTAGGGTTGTCTTGTCAGGTGTTGCGTTTATTTCGTTATGATACAAAAATCTAACTCTTAATACTATAGAAGAAAGACAATAACAGATATCCACGTATAATTATGTAGTTATATTTAGTACGTTATTATAGTAATAGTTTGCAAACAAATACACGAGAAGGAGGTAGTATGTAGTTGAGTGGTTGACACTACTATCCAATAATTCCTAAAACCTCTTTAAAACAATTCGATATTCCTAATAATTGAGTTGGCTTTCAATTTGTCAACGTTAACTATTGAAATACAAATAAATATGTACCTTACTTACCTCCCAGAATCAACTGGTAGTTTAAAAAACGAAAATTTAGTTTTTAATGTTGAGTGTAAGCAACCGTCTACTTAACAAATAGTTATAATACCCCTTTTTTGTTGTTCACTCATTTTCGCACAAACAAAATAATTTCACAAACGCGTGAGCAGCGTCACTCAAGCGAACGCAGTCGCGCCTCGCATTCGTCCAAGACAGTCTTGATAACGCGTACGTGAGCGGTATCTATGTGTGCGTGGCTCGAGCGCGCTTAGTATGGAGTTTACCTTCTATTATATTTTGTGGCTGTACCTACTAGTATACACTGTGTCCACAGCTGCCAGCGTCGCGTCTTTCCGTTCTATACATAGCCAGAACGCAAGGGTGTGAAACTAATCGAGTATAGTTTGGAGATGACTTTTTTTACTAAGCTCCTCCAAACTATACACGACCAGTACGCATATGCTGCGTACTGCTCGCGTATACTTTGTAGTGACTTAGGTCAATTATCTTGCGCCAAAATATACATCGCCAGTACGCATACGGACTAATCATGTATGTATTGTAATAAGTGCGTGATTACAATTTATACGCGAGTAGTTGCATGCTAGTCATTTTGTCTTAATGACCTCTCTTTCTATTACTTAATAATTCATATCTGCGTGTCTACTTTAAACATTGAATCATCTTTTCGACACGTATTCTGCCATAGAAAAAATATTTGTTTTGGGGCTGATATTTAATTTTCACCAATTCTCGAATAACTCTTAAATTAAGAATTATGTAGGTATGGAAATATGTCAAAATGATTTTGTTCTTGAGATAAAAGTTAATAAATAAAATAAATAATAAATAAATATCCTTAATTCCTTAGACATTTTACACTGCGCTTCTAGTACCAAACTAAGCAAAGCTTGTACTATGGGTACTAGACAACGGATATAAATAAACATACATACTTAAATACTTTTTTTTTTGTAAATACATACTTACTATACATAGAAAACACCCAGTCCAATACAAACAAATATGTTCATGCACACAAATGTTTGTACTGTGCGGGAATCGAACCCGCTACCTCCGGAATAGTAGTCCGTTTCGAACCACTACACCAAACGGCCGATAATACAAACCTAGCATTTAAAGTCTCGCATAATGTATTAATAATGCACGTTGAACTTTCTTCTCTCACTCTCTCTCATTTTAAATGAATTTATGATTACACTAATAATTGTTATTTAATTTGAAATCTACCTAATCAATTTAATTTCAAAAACCACTTACAATAGTGTTAAAAATCTAGATTTATTATAGATTCAGTAAAATAATAATATTTTATGTAATAATATCGAATAAATGTAATTTTAAATATAATTACATATTTTACTAAATCAATATCAACTAAACACACTCTAGTCAAGTGTAAGTGGTGTAGTAGAAACTAATCGAGTATAGTTTGGATATGACTTTTTTTACTAAGCTCTTCCAAACTATACACGATCAGTACGCAAAATTCGTGTATAGTTTGGAGTAACAGATTTACAAACGGGCACTACAAAATATACACGAGCAGTTTCCTATGGGTGCGTTCTGGCCATGTATAGAACGGAAAGACGCGCCAGCGTCTTCCACCCTAGGTTTATAACTATTTCAGATGTTGTTACATAATAATTATAATAATAATTTTGAAGTTAAAGTTGATTAAATAGCCTTTGTTACAACGAGATAACTCGCCACTATGTTTAGCTTGATGCAATCGGTTCGTGCTAATTCTTATATTTTTTACAGCAATATACGAAGCCATCCCAGGGTTCTTATCGTTGCTGGCATTGAGCCCGCACGCTTTGGCGAGGAACGACCTGTTTAACATCGAGCTCTTCAATCGGAACAGCAACCACCATCGCATGGTATTGCAGCTAATACTCGCCCTAAGGGACTTAGCTAAGTAAGTAATTTGTGACGAAAATTGCATCAACATTACACACACTGGGTCATTTTGAAAATCGTTTTCCCACAGCTGTTTATAATCACCAGTAGAAATCTCTGAAAAATTTACAAGTGTCTCTAAAGAAATAATTTTTTTTTCTAGTTTGGTTTGAGATCATGACAATCTCTTATTTAGAAACAACGAATAAAAATAGTGGATTTTTCATTAAAAGTGAACTATTCGACACCTAGTCCAAAGAAAAATCAAATTGATAGATAAGTTGTATGTAGGTACTCTCAACATTCACGTTAATTTAAAACTCGATTCTGAAAATACTTCGCTCACATTATTGGAACGCGTGCGACATCATTAGGAAGAGAAGCAGTCATGCATTCAATTATAATGATTCCAATAATTATGTAGGCAATAGTAACAAAGGGCTTCGATACAATGGTAGGTATTATGCCGTATGAATTGGTGTTTTCGAAGGAAATTCAATACGTGCTTTCAATACAAAACGAATGAAACACTTTTCAGAAACCTTTGATTAAGTGAAAAGAATATGGTTTTAAATTTTTACTTAACTTGCAGGTTAAATTTCTACCTGGCAGCTGATGAATGGAGACTCAAAGTACTGACGGGGAATACGCCTTCTTCGAAGACAGCTGCAAGTTGGAGCGAATTTAGAAGAAATTTCTCCCAACTGGAAACCTTGGATACAGATTTATTAGGTGACCCCTACGTTCAATTCAACAAACCTTTTATTGGGTAAGCGTGCAACTAGAAACCTTGTTGTTGTCTAAAATTTTAAAATCAAAATCAAAATTATCTTTATTTGTTTAGACTAATTAAATTAGTACTTGCAAATCGTCAAATGCTCTTAAAGAGCATAGGCTCCTTAGAATGAGACATGTATAGCATGTCTCATTCTCATCATCTTTTTTTGCTCTACCAGCGCTTCAAGACAAACATTTGGCAAGTGCTGAGAAGAAGAGCCGCAACAAACTCAGTCACCACTGACTGCCGGTTTAAAAATATAAAAAAGTAGGAAGTTACAATACATTACTATACATACTGAGGAAAAATTATATTTAATTTTCAGGAAATTCATGGGTCTCATCCTAAAATATCAGATATATCATTCATTCGCTGAAGAACTCGAGTCTGATGATTCTGATTTGATCAAACATATAGCTGAACACAGTAATCGATTAAGGTACGAAGACATTTTACTACTTACTGCATTCAATTTACAGTTTCGTTTACATTGCGTGATTCATGATACTGAATTATTTTTTCCAGTGACGTAATGTCCCAAGGCTTCAGTATTAAATGGCCTGAACTCGTCAGAGATCTGCTATTCAAGAAACAAAATGGCCTGGAATACACCGGTCTAATTGACTACTACCGATTGTTAGAAAAATATTTAGACGATCAATTCGATCCTGTGATAAACAATGGCATATCATATAAATAGACACGTTATACGCCTACATTATTGTCTTTTAAAATGGCGCAAATACTCCTATTTTATGACAGCTATGCGTTAAGACATTTTGCACAGGAAAGGAGAATGGGGTAGAGTGAATTTTCGAATGAACTATCAAACTAATATTTAAAGAAAAGCAAGACAAAACGTAACTTATTATTTTCCCTCAAACCAACTTAGGTCTTATGCCTTTTTTTATCTTAAAAAATGAGTTTTTAAATCCGGATTATTTTTATGTATAGCAACGTGCAAAATTTGTGAGGTGTACTCTGAGATTAAAAGTCGAATTATCGACATATAAATTAACGACAAAAACACGTCATTGCGATTTTAAAAAAAGACTAAAATTCGATTCTTTATACATAATTGCAATCTTTTTGGGGTCGGGAAGTAGAATTATATTTTACCCAACCTGCATTTTTAGCACTTTCGTTTCCGCTATAATTTTGTTTCTCAAGTGAGTCTTCTTCGTTTGATCATAAATTAATTATTATAATCATACAGTAATAATAGCCATAGCATTGATGGATTTCTGATGAAAACGTCAACACAAGAATATATTCTGTTCTAAAGAAAAAAAATTGCGTGAGTTTAAAATGCAGAGTTCATAAGTGAAACATATTCGCCCAACTTCCCCTGGCAGTGGCCACTAGATTTTAGGTCACATGTCAAATTCAACCGTCAACACTTGTCAAATTGAATAAAATTAAATACATTTAATATTTTACTAAAAAAACTGTATTTACGAATGAAATGACACATTTTTCTGGTACATAATAGTGGCAGTGTAATTTGTACACCAACAAAAAACGCAAGAAAGCATATTAACAAATATAGCCCGACCAGGAACATAAAAACCCTCGCCATGTTGCGGAAAACTAATGGTACTAATTTCTTTTAATGGCAACAGTAACTGAAAACTTCATTGACATGTCACCTTGCATGTCAGTCTATTGTTGTCAAAGTGTAAACAAACTTTATTTTAAATGTGTGCAATTGATTTTGTGAATTAAATTGCTAAAATATTTTTATAGTCGTGAAAGAAAAGTGGTTCACGGTGTGTTAATGTATTTGTCGAAGAGAAATACTAAGGGTTCGGACAATATTTTCATTGAATAATGTTTCCGACAAAGGTTGTCAAATTGACTGACATGTTTATCGTATAGTACAGTCCACTATGAAAATTAGCTGTAGTCTGTTTCAACTACCCATTTTAAAGTTTTTTGTTACTTTCTAAGTTTTGAATTTTATGGAATTGGGAAAGAAGTACCGAGTTTGAAGCGTTCATGAGCAGACATTGCAGTTGAATATTCAAATTCTGAATTTGATTATTGATGAATAATAAAATAAATCCTACTAGCTCGATTGATGGTTTCATTTAATTTATTTAAACCAGGTTACCTTTAATAATATTTTTCGTTCATTTATGAAAATATCAAATTAGCCCGTAATCCTGAATCCTGATACATAAATTTAGCCTATTAATTTAACACATGTACGACTGTACTCAGTGTTGCACTATCAAATGCAATTGAAGCGCCTCTATGCCAGGGTTTTTATGTTCCTGGTCAGGCTATAAATAGGAAGGCAATCGGGAAGTGCATTCGTGGCTGTTCGCGGCAACCGATCATGCCCGACTGAATGCAAGCAGTACAATTGGCTTACTTTTGCATTGCCAGTCTTGAGCGGGTATAACGTATCTATACTATAAAAACATCTTAGGTGTTAAACAATATCGAATCAATAGACGCTTGATCGCTATGATCCTGCTGAACTTAACGTAGACGAGAAAGACCTTACGTACGATTTCAATGCAAATTTTGACGAAAATAGCGCTGTCGAATCCGATGAACATTTATTTTATACCAGATCTATCTGAATCGCCGAAAATCAATATTATTGATACTGGGGATGAGGACGGGGTAGAGACAACGACTGTTAAAATTTTAGAATCAAAACCTAACCTGACTGAATCTTACAACATGTATTGGTGGATAGGTATAGCAGTCGCGTTGGCTGTTGTCGTGATACTAATAGCAGTAATCGCAAGGAAAAGACACAACCACAGAAAACAACTGGAAAAGCAAAGAAGAAAGAACTCGCGTGCCTGATTTGAAGAGTATCGGTTCTACTAACCGATATGAAAGAAACAGTTTTGTGAACTGGTGCCAATACTGTGAAGTGAATTACATTCTGAAGTGTTGTATTTCTAATGCTGCTTTTACACTATGCGGAAATTAGCCGAGTCAAGTCAAAAAAACAGAGGAGTGGGGATGAAATTCATTCATAATTCATCCCCACTCCACTGTTTTTTTGACTTGACTTGGCTAATTTCCGCGCAGTGTAAACGCAGTATATGTTTCGTGTATTCTGCTTAGTTATGATTACTAATTTGCACGTTACCTATTATTTATTTTTAAGGTTAAATGCTGCATTTTAACTATACGATATCATCACAGAACAGCATTTTAAAAGTTTTATGCGTGTTCATTTTTTGTATGTTCGTTTTTGAGTACAAAGTTTGTATTTATTACTGAGCTAGATAGTAAAGAAAGATGGAATAAATATTTTTGTACATATCACGATTTGCAAGATAGTTTATAAAATATTGTTACCAAGAGTGTCTATTAGTTGTAATATTATCTACACTAATATTATAAAGAGGAAAACTTTGTTTGTTTGTTTGTTTGTTTGTTTGTTTGTTTGTTTGTTTGTTTAGTTGTAATGGATAGGCTCAAAAACTACTGGACCGATTTTAAAAATTCTTTCACCATTCGAAAGCTACATAACTCACGAGTAACATAGGCTAAATTTTATTTTGGAAAAAAATAGGGTCCCGTAAAATATTTGGGATTTTCATAAGACGTGGAAAAGCGCCATCTATCGTCATTGGTTAAAATCTTCTTGCGCCTGACAAAAATTTTTGAGGTACGTAAATATTCATGAAGGGAAAGCTGTCAAACGCCATCTATCGACATCATTAGTAAATTAGTAACTAAATATTACATGTACTATGAATAGCGCTGTTCGTAAATAATATTGAAAATTTAATAAATAAAGATATTTTATGTAACTGAACCATTCACTGTATGTACCTATTTGAATCATTCACTGTGTTTAAACGAGCAAATCAAAGTGTTAATTAGTGACTTTTTACAAACTTCCTTGCAAATTCTTACTATGTGCCGCCATCTACCGAGATGAATATTAGGGTACGGTTCAGCGGCGGACAAATGGGATGGGCGCGTGGGCGATTGTAGTTAAATAGGATAAGAATTACCTACTTCGTTTTTATTTTCTGTATGTAATTTGTTAATTTTTTGGTAGGGTCTTTATTTTAATTACTTAGGTTGGTAGGTACTTACTTATTTGATTTTAATGATAATTACTATAGGTACGTATAATTTTAGTAGAAAGAAAGGTCATTGAATGACTAAGTGACTCACTCACTCATCACGAAGTCTCAGAAACTACAAGCACAGTAGATAAATCAAACAGTACGGAAGCTTCATACAAACGCTCGAAATCAGACTCACGCACACAGACGCACGCTTTACACGAGCTCTAAGCGAACCTCGCAGTCCATCCGTCGCGAGTGTCGCGCGCGTTGTGTTTTTAATAATAATTTTATTGCATGCGCTGTCCGCTGTATTTTTAAAAACATGCCACGAGTGTATTGCGTAGTATACGGCTGCTTGAACTGGGCATCTTCAAAACCAGAACTTTCATTTTTTAAACTTCGTAATAATTCTGAGTTGTAAAAATGATTAAATATTACTTTTTAAATAAAGTGCTTACATCTGATTTTGTAATAGATCTTTTTAAATTACGTAATTACGCTTTTTAACAATTTATGTGTTCTATTTGATAAAGTAATTTGCTCCGCACGCTTTTGTACTAAGTGATGAACTGTATTTAAAATGAGGCAATAGGTATGTGAAAGTAAGTATCCGGTATTTTATTTATGAGAATAGATCTTCTAACGGCCTCTTATAATACTTAATCAATTTATTCGATTATGTATTCGATCATTATAGAACCTAATTAACGTTTTATTTTTTTGTTAACTACTTAGTCAATTAATTTATTCCATTAGGTATTTGATAATAAAAAAACCTAAATAAACGTTTTAATAAATAAGTAAGTAAGAACCTTATTATTTTATAAAGATTAAGAGTGCCAACCCTAACACTCAGTTGAAGTGTAGGTATTTAACTCGCCGAAAGGGCTAAGCTTCCGTACTGCTTTAGCTCATAAATATACTGTGCTACAAGTCTCAAAAGAGTTCTCAGGGGTTAATGGTCTATTCCACCTGGCTTTGATCACCAAGATGATCAAAGTGGACTCCAGTTAAATTATATTTTTAGTGTTCTTTGATCACCATAAATAAATCATACCTCTGAATTGTCACATACATGTCCAATTTGTTTATTGCGGTTTTTAGAAAATATCAAAAATGTTACAAAACAAAATATGTAGTACAACAATGAAGAATGTTCACTAATTTTGTTTTTTAGCTTTCTGTATTCTCTGTTAAAAATTAAAAATACACGTGAATGAATTATTTCGATACGTCAATTAGTTTCCAAGATATTGAATTTTAAAAGTGCAGGCGGCGGCCGGCCCGCCATTTTATGCGCGTGACGTCATATTACAACGACTGGCTCATATTTGTATGGGTGGAATCTTGCAAACTGAATTAAGACCCACTTCCAGGCAACCGATTAAGCTGAAATTTCGCAAACACATGTGATTTGGATGACCATGCAATATTATGATGACATGGAGCTGATCTGATGATGGAGCTGGAAGGTGGCCATAGGAACTCTATAATAAAACGACTTAAATGCATCGAGTTTGGGCTCGTTCGTTTTGTATTGATGAGTATTTTAATTCTATATAGTAATCGGGGTCTAATGATGGAGCTGGAAGGTAATTCGTAATAAAACGACACAATCGCATCAAGTTTGGGTTTGGTTCAATTTTAATTTCTGTGATGGGTCTGGGTGTTAATATGTATAATAAGTTTGTATTTACAAAAAAAAAGCAGAACTGATGGCCGATGGGGCAGAATGGTTCTGGAATGGAGGCCGCGTACCGGAAAACGTAGCGTGGGACTTCCACCTACAAGGTGGACCGACGACATCGTAAAGGTAGCAGGGAAGCGCTGGACGCAGGCCGCTTCCAATCGATCAACATGGAAAGCATTGGGGGAGGCCTATGTTCAGCAGTGGACGTCCTATGGCTGAAATGGTGGTGGTGGTGGTGGTACATATACTGAAAATTTATCATTAGAAATCAACTACGGGGGCTAAGGAGATAAAAGGAGGGTTGGAAGTTTATATTATGAAAGTCATATGTGTTTAAAGTAAGAGAGTTGAAATTTTAAATGTATGCGCTATAGATGCTAAGAGCGGATTTTACGAAACTCCACCCCTAATGGAGTAAAACGAGGTCCACGCGTACGAAGTCGCGGGCGGCCGCTAGTGTAATATAAATAGATGTAATTTCGCCGTGCCTTACGCGTCTCAATTTCTAAAGTACTATTTGAATTTTTATTTGTAGTTTAGATCATTTAATTTCGATTATAAGAATTTTAGACTAGGAGCCTCTGATTTGTGCACTTATTGAATAATAACCACTTATTGAATATATTTTGTTAATAAGTTTTTGTTCTGATCACTCACATGGACTTAACTAATAAAATAAATAATATGCTGCGATAAAATTTCATCGAGGCAAAGATGTATTAGCGCCCTCCTATAAATGCCATAAATAGATGAACTAAAACGAACTGTCCCACCCGTAACACTGACAGGGGGGCGCCACCATCATTACCGAAGTGCTGGTTCCGATTTTTAACACTATTTGTAGTAAAGTGTATCTATTATAAGGTGTACCAGAATCTCATGGCAAATAGGGAAAATAAACTTTGTTGAGAGCAATACTGGGGAAATTGGACTAAACGATCTTGATACTGTTTAATTTTTTACTTTTATGACTTTAATATTAATGAACATGAAGTACGAATACACATTTTAGGTATGTGTAAGAAGAATGTGGTTATACATCGGGTTTTTAACATAGAAAAATGTCTTGAAAAATAAGTAAATCGTATATTACTTTATGTAACTAATTTTATTATGTATCATACTTATAACTTATCACTTCATTCAGAACTAGAAAACGATTCTAAGAACTCCACTTGCATTTCTTGTTCTTCAATAGATGATAAAGAGGTATTGTAAATAAATTGCTCTTCAAGCATTTCAATGGAGCAGTTTCCTGATGTTGAAAACATTATATTATTATAACGTGACAGAGAATATAAATCTGAAGGAGATTTGAAGTTTCACTGACATTTGACGTTACAAAAACACCCACCCGTGCCGCTCGCGCTGCTAGATCAATATTTAGTTAATTCTCAAGTTTAATTTTCATATCATTTGTAAAGGTTTGTTTTTCTAAATAAAGTAACAACACATTAAGAAATAATAATAAAAATTAATTTATTCCACAAAAATATTAACAATCTATTTAAAAAATTATATTACACATTCATTTTCACAGTGGAATAAAAATTATATTAAAATTTACAATTCATTTACAAAGGATAGAATAGGTAGGTAACATTTTTATTTATCTAGCCAATAATTACATACAAATGTTAAAAAACGTATCAAAAATCATTTTATAAAACTTTTGGCACAAATCCGCTTCTCAATATTTAGAAAAAAAATAAAAAATGAGCATTCTTATTTTATTATGATAAGTACAAAACTGTATTCTTAAAGTTACATTTAACAATAACTGGCACAAAATTCGTATAAAAACGGAAAATAAACGCGTTAGGACTGAACCACACATAGATCTTGAAAATATATTTTTCTATCATACATTAGGGTATTATGCGAACGTATTTACACGTAAAATAACATCTTACACGTAAAGCTCATGTACCGAAGCTATATTTTCTACAAAAATATACATTAAAAACTACCTTTTGCTTCAACGATTAGCGTACAGTCACCTAAATATCAACGTACCAAAAAAATTAAATCTTCAACGTATTATGAACTTTATGTTCCTTGGCATAAGGTTCGAAATCAATTGAAGAACTCATACTTCTATAAAGGGTTCATATAAAGGCGACTGTACAACTATAATGTGATACAGTCCTAACACTGGCAAGTATGTATGTCGAAACATAAACTGTCATCAATGTGATAGATACAATATTTTTTTTCAAAAATGCAAGATTTAAATAGGTAACAGACTCGACAAAGACATTTTATACAAAATTATTTTGTACCTGTATTTACATCTCAGGTACCTAATATACACTACTGTGTAATGCCTCAATTATATACACATCCATAAGTTATTACATTATGCACAATTTGTTCAATTATTATAAAAGACTAGCCATCGCTAAGTAAGTGCATACACAATTACGTACAAAAATATTTAAAAAATTCGTTATTTACATCAACTTTCATCACGTTGAAGTATTTTCAGTCGGCGATATATCATACTTAAAATATATTAACATTCGTTGAACACATATTATGCTAACTACTCAACACATAGTTTGTCTATGTGCTGTGTTACGGACGGAAAGTATATCACTTTTAGTCTATGTTATTCACTTCTTTAAAACAAATGGTAAGTCACTATAAACTTATTCCATCGCCTTCACCATTTCAATATTGTTTTTCGATCAATCTACTCTCACTTTCTTAAAAGTACCGAAAACAGCAGATCAACCTATCACTCATCTTTAATAAGATTTTTAACTTTACACCATGAGAATAAAGGTTGAAAATCAATTGAGAATTTAGGATGGGTTGATGTGCTGACGCCCGTACAAACAGATAACATAAATTTGTTTGTTTTTGTCTTCATTTTTAACATATTCAATCATTAATGTAATAATCTTATTTGACACAAAAACAGCAATAAAAGTAATAACATTTTTCAAGTTCACGGTAAGGGATTAAAGGGAGCCAGAAAAGCCAAAAACATAAGTAACAATAAAAAAATCTGTTTGAAAACAATATTTCATAAAATGCTCCGAAAGAAAAGCAAATTTATGTTACCTATATCATTTCATTAAAATACCTACTCCAATTTTATTAATAAGTGTCACTATAGTTCCGTCGTGGTCTCCACCGGCGATTGGTCGTAAGAGAAACCCGTAAAGTTTCTTTTGCCGAACGTGACGTTGTCGTTCTCTGATGCCCTGTGAAAAATATTTATATCAGTATAGTGTCGGCCGTTTGGTGTAGTGGTTCAGAACGGACTACTATGCCGAGATGTCCCGGGTTCGATTCCCGGCCGGGCAGAAATTGAAATGATGAATTTTAATTTCTGTGACGGGTTTGGGTGTTTTCTATGTATAATATTGTATGTATTTACAAAAAAAAAGCATTTAAGTATGTATGTTTATATCCGTTGTCTAGTGTAGGTACCCATAGTACAAGCTTTGCTTAGTTTGGGACTAGAGGCGCAGTGTAAAATGTCAAAGGATATTTTTTTCAGTACAAGGATCTGATGACACTTTCTGGGAATTAAGTAACTGATCTGAAGAAAGCTGTCAGTCACAATCTATAACTTTTAATCGAGTCACCTGTACTAACAACTTTTATTTAATAGATAGCATTCTATGTATTGCATTATTGGAAACTTTATCAGAGATCGATAAAGCTGTTTGAACTTGATAACTGTAATCATGCAAGCGACTGCACTGGCTGAACCGATTTTGATGAATATTAAGATAGCTTACAGCTTTCTGATTTTTTAAAAATAAATATTATAAATATAAATACATAGAAAACAACCAGGCCATTACAAAAAGATAAATCGAACCCAACTTATGTCATAGTAACAACGAAACAACCTCTGCTTGTTCTAAAACTAACGTGTTTTCACTTAAAATAAATACTCTTTAAATTATTCGTGCACGTGATAGGGTATCATTATAACGTTAACTAACATCAAAAGTAGAATGGATCCCTGTTTCATTAATAGCAGACCTAAAATATCAAAGAGAAACAAGAAATGGCTCGGTCAAAGCAAACAGTAATACGTTTCGTCAAGTAATTTTAAACCTTATGGATAAAGGCATACGGCTAAACATCCACTGGGGGAATTTATCATTTTGTAGCAAGTTAACCTGACCGACTGTACAATGAGTAAGGTGTGTGAACTAATTAAATAGTGGGTATGTTTAATGTAAGTGTTAAGGTTATGAAATAACGTTGTTTAATTAAATTAAGAGTTAAATATGACCGCGGAGACCACAGAGTACCTAATCTTTTCTCTATTTGGTTAGTAAAATTTACATTGGAGATACGATATTTTATTGCAAGTAAATTATCTAAAATCTATAGTGTAAAAGGTCGTTTTCATCATTATTATTATCGTCATCATCATCGTTTCAGCCACGAAAAATAGAACGTTAATATGACGCTTATGCCAGAGACTCAATTCAAACTTTTATTGAACACTTTAATGTGTTTGGCCTGGGCGTTTTCTAAATAAGTCCTTGCATAGCACTCGTATTGACCCTATTGATGGGATTGATGGGTGTATGTTATAAACGTATGTCTAGTTCGCATAGCACAAGCTTTCCTTGGGACGTCCACCCACCCAAACGCAGCGTGAGACATCCACCCACAAGGTGGACCGACGACCTGATAAAGGTAGCAGGAAGGCGCTGAATGCAGGCCGCTACCAACCGTGCGATGTGGAAGTCATTGGGGGAGGCCTATGTTCAGCAGTGGACGTCCTGTGGCTGAAATGATGATGATGATGATGATTATGATGAAGCTTTCCTTAGTTTAAAACTAGATGGTGCTGTATAAAGTCTTACCTTTGCAGCCCCGGAATTTCATCATAAGCCATGATCGGCTGCGACGCTTTCTTCTTATGGTTGTTCCCACCGTTTATCTTTCTCCCAAGCGTCGCTGCTAGCAATCCCCCTCCAACATTATTGTTGTTGACTCTCGGTAACGTTCCTAGAGCGTTGTTCAACGCGTGGTTGTTAGGCACTCGTCGGTTGAGGGTCTGAGTGTTGCGAGCGATGGTTGAGTTGTTCGCCAAAGTGTCGAAGTGACTGTTGTTGAGCGTGCCACCGTTCTCGTTGACGCTTGACGCTCTTGCGGTGGTGGCTGTTTCGGAGAGGGTAGGACTGCGTTCTCCTAATAATATTAAAAAATATGTATTCTAAAATGCACTTATAAATAATGAAACATAAGGGTTATGTTTTGTTAATGGCTCAAATATCTTGTCAATTTATTCTTTATGAAAAATGGATGATAATATAATTTGCGTTGCAGTGACATAAAAATTGCAGATTTTTTTAATTTAAAGGTGGGCATTATATTGGCCCAAATACATATATCTTTTATAGAGGTTTGGCTGCCGTCACAAAAATAAGAAATGCGGGTAATAAACGAGTTTGAAATTACTAATATGAGTAGATGTTTATTTCAATGACAATGCACTTTTCATTTGTTTTAATTGAGACATCCATTATTCTTTTGTTGTCAACATTTGTGTACAAAGTTGCGTCGATAAATAAAAAACAAATTGTTTATAGTAGACAATTTAAATGCACATACCATTGTCTTTGGATAAATATTGCACACTGTGGATGTTGAACGCGTGGTTGTTTGGACTGAAGTCCAGTTGCAAGTCTGCGTCGTCCACCGCCATGTTGAGAACCTGTGGGCAAAGCAAAATAGACCCTATAACAACTACGTAAGATTCCACAACATTTGCTTTTAAGTGACGTCGATTGTACTTGTTTACAATGTAGACTTAAATATTGACAAATATATTTGCCAACAATATTTTCTGCAAGAGTAACTTAGCGTAAACAACACTATATTTACTAATTAAACATTTCTACAGTGGACTAAGATGTACAATAGTTGATGACGCAAGTACATAATATTATGCAAAAACGATTTTATTCTTTTCTATCAATGGCAATAATGATCATATTATGTCAGAGACAATGGGGTTAAGTCATTTGAACCACCCACATGCGGTGCGAAATATGTTGTCCACCAATAACATCTTTAAAGGTCGAGTGTAGCCGCTTATTGTTCACTTAAGTCTTATTACCTCAGCCTCAGTGTTATTACGACACTAGACGGCTACTCCGAAACGCTGCCTACGTAGTTTCGTGTCTATCTGTCACCGTCGCTCATGCTGGCATCTCGCTTTGCGTGAGAGGGATGGCAACATTCGAAACTTTGGATAACGTTTTTCGTAGTAACCCCGCTGGTTATCTACAACTATCTGTCAATTTGACAGGTAATTTACCTGAGTCTCGTATCTCGGCGCGGGCTCGTCTTCACTTGACTCGTATCCCGACGGCGGTCTGGGAGGCGGCATGCTCATACTAAGAGTCCCGTACTGCTGGATTGCTTGCTCTTTGTGTTTCTTGTACCTGGACAAAGGAACAATTTAATGTAGAGTACTGAAATTAAAATACGAAATAAAAATACTGGGAAGAGACAATGTATATTCACATTGCTATGTGACGTTTGTGTGAGACCACGAATTTTACCTTGCTCCAAGAACTACATGAAGGTTCTTCGTTGTTAAAGGGATTGTGATTAGTCAGGTCTACAAGTCATTCTAAGTCAGCCTTTGTAGCTGTTTTATGAGATTTCTAAGAAGCACTAAGTTCTCATTATAGTGCAAAGCTCAATACTCAATTCAGCTGGTAACACCGTTGTAACGCTGCCATAGCGTTCTACGTCGACCTATACCTAATGTTGCAAGCACTCATATGTGGCCTAAGACTAATTTTACCTGTTCCAAGAAGCACAGATGTATATCGTAGCTGCAGTGGCCGCTACTTGCACCAACGCCGCCAATGCTATCAAGGCAGCCGGTAACACCTTTGTAACGCTGCCATAGCGTTCTACGTCGACTTATACTGAATATTTTATGAATGTTGCAAGCACTCATATGTGGCCTAAGACTAGTTTTACCTGTTCCAAGAAGCACAGATGTATATCGTAGCTGCAGTGGCCGCTACCAGCACCAAAGCCGCCAATGCTATCAAGGCAGCCGGTAAGGCCGTAGCTAAAGGTGCCGCGGCCACATGCGTCGGCCTTCGGGGCTGCTCTGCGGGCACTAACGGCGCTCGCACTTGACTAACTGGCGATTGTATTGGGTATTTACCTGTTCCAAGAAGCACAGATGTATATCGTACCAGCAGTGGCCGCTACAAGCACCAAAGCCGCCAATGCTATCAATGCGGCCGGTAACGCCGTTGTAACGCTGCCATAGCGTTCTACGTCGACCTATACTGAGCATTTTATAAGTATGGCAAGCACTCAAATGTGGCCTATGACTAATTTTACCTGTTCCAAGAAGCACAGATGTATATCGTAGCTGCAGTTGCCGCTACTAGAACCAAAGCCGCCAATGCTATCAAGGCAGCCGGTAAGGCCGTAGCTAAAGGTGCCGCGGCGTTCTACGTCAACCTATACCTAGCGTTTAATGAATGTTGCAAGCACTCATAAATGGCCTAAGACTAATTTTACCTGTTCCAAGAAGCACAGATGTATATCGTAGCCGCAGTGGCCGCTACCAGCACCAAAGCCGCCAATGCTATTAAGGCAGCCGGTAAGGCCGTAGCTAAAGGTGCCGCGGCCATATGCGTCGGCCTTCGGGGCTGTTCTGCGGGCACTAACGGCGCTCGCACTTGACTAACTGGCGATTGTAGACTGGCCGCTACAGCTTTGTGGACGCCGCTTTCGACGGCCCTGAAAGAAGTGGTGGTTTAGAAATAAACAAAGAGTCTTAACTAATATAGAGAAAAATGTTTTGCTTGACGTTGAACCTTATTCCATCTCAAGAGTGGTGGCAACAGTTCAGTCATCAATGAATGTCATTAAACATTAGAAAACAATTTCAGAAGACTCAGGGGTAGACTTTTAATTTGGTTAGGTATGAAATTGTAGTAGATAGATTAGGGATGGGGCATTCTAAAGGATTAGTTAAGGTCTTTATAAAGGTGTTTTTTTAGAGGTATACAACTTCAAAATGGTTACACTGTTTCTAGTGATATTTAATTTGATAGTTGGTGGTACATTTGTGAACAGTATGTTTTGCCATTTTATAATTAAATAGAATTACTTCAGAACAACGTTTGCAAATTGTGCAAAAATGCATTTTAAAAATCATGGTTCAGTTTTCCATACAAACGTCCATATTACGGTCGACGTAATTTTCGTAACTTTTCATTCCTCAGATGAATGATATTAATGTGGCAGAGCTATGGTTTCAACAAGATGGTGTTACCATTCAACCAGCACGCGACACATTCAATTTATTGCGGGAAACATTCGATGAGCGCATAATTTCACTAGATGGATCTTTGAATTTGCCTCCACAATCGGGTGATCTCACACATATGGATTATTTTCTCTGGGGATATGTGAAGTCCACTACTGCGCAGATAAACTACGGAATTAAATGCCAACATTCGTCACGTTATTGCCGATGTATGGCCCCAGTTGCTCGAAAAAGAAATTAAAAATTGGTTATCTCGATTATGCTACATTTGAGCCGATCGTGGCGCCCTTTGACCCGAAATCATTTTGAAGCATAAATGGCATAAGAACATCTTTTAAACAAAACCAATACCATGTGAATCAAACATATTTTTACATATTTTATTTCATTTTAAAGTTGTATACCTCTAAAAAAACACCCTATAGCTAGCTCCAATACCAAGTATGTTCTGATTTATAAATCTTATGTGTTTTAATTAAAATTAAGGACAGTGACTTTATATTTACTTCTTCGCAGACGCTGACTCTCTAGTCAATATCCTCCCTGTAGAAGGATCGACCAGATATAGCCACATATCCGTTCCTTTAGTATCACTCTCTAACGTGCCATTTACTCCCAGGTAATGTCTATACGTTAATTTCTCTAAACCAGCGACAAGCCCGCTCTCTTTCTCTATGGCTGCGAGGACGCTACGCGCTCGCCGGCCCATAGATTCAGTGTTGACATTGGAAACTTCTACCACAAGTTGGTTTTCTTTTTGGAGGAGATTTACCTGAAATAAAAATAATTTTATAGATATTCTTATAGCTAGGATTTGAAAGAACTGAAATTCTATTATCCTAACAGATTTAGCCTCAATTTTAACAAGTTAACATACAAGTTCTTCATTTGTATCAGTAATTGTCTCACGAGGCTAGCAAAAGTAGGAAAAAATGTGACTTCTTAGATGAACTTGAGTTAGTTCATCGTTTAATAAATGAAGTCCACGTTAAAGATAGACTTGAATTTCACTGGCATTTTAGATACAGCTACTGCATTCTGCGGACTTCCACACAAACAGAACAAGAAAATACATGATTGATACCTACATAATCTATACTAATATTATATAAAAAAAACTTCATCAAATACTCACAACAACAGAAACCCTAGCAATGTTATAATCCTGCGGCGAGCTAGGGTTGTCTCTCGCTGTCACGCTGAACTTGAAAGGCAGCACGTCACTGGGCACGCTGTCAAACGTCTTGACGTTGCTTATGACTCCCGTGTCAGCGTCCAATGCAAAGTATTCCTCCGCTGCTTTGGGCCAGGAGTGCTTGTGGTATTCTATCTTGCCGTAGTCGCCGCTGTCTTTGTCTTTAGCCTGTTAAATTGTAATGAAAAAGTTAAAAGTATACTTATTGAGAAGATATGAAAAGGAGATATTTAAATGTTTAGAAATTTAGCAGGACCGAATTAAAGCCTGACGATATAAAATGAATGTATGGATGTATGAATGAGCATGTATGAAATACAACCAATCATACGATTTTCTATGAGTTAGGAGAGGAGATTCAGATTTTTTTTTATGCATGACAAGGCAGGTTTTTGACCGCAATCGCACCTGGTGTTAAGTGAGGTAGAACCCTTAGATGGCATTGTTTGGCAGAAAGTACATTTTTAGATAAAAGACGATTTTATCAATTTCTAAAACGAAAGTATTAGAAATTGATAATCGTCTTTTATCTAGTTACTAGCATTCCGCCCGCGGCTTCGCCCGCGTGGAATTTTGTCTGTCACAGAAAAACTTTATCGCGCGCGTCCCTGTTTCAAAAACCGGGATAAAAACTATCATATGTTCTTTCCCGGGACTCAAACTATCTCTATGCCAAATTTCATCAAAATCGGTTGCGAGGTTTAAGCGGGAAAGCGTAACAGACAGACAGACAGACAGACAGACAGACAGACAGAGTTACTTTCGCATTTATAATATTAGTTGGGATGAAAATAACTAAATAGGTCCCTGAGCCAGAGAGTAACAGTAACAGAGAGCTTAGGTAACAGTGACGTCACGTAACGTCGTCGTATGACGTAACTTCTGACTGAAGTTCACACCTCTCACTACCTCAAGAAATACTCAGTTAAGCGCTAATTATGAAGCTACTAACCTTAACTTGCAACACATTCGTATCCAGCAGCATATCCTTAGTAACAATCGCGAAGTATTTCCCCACAGCACCCGCTATCGTGCTCTGTTCTTTGAACACGAACGCGGGCGCGTTATCATTGACATCGGTCACGTGAACCTTTACAACTGCTTTACTGGTCTCCGGGTTTATCAGACCCTGGATGGACTCCAGTTGGACTTCTAAGGAGTATTCGGAGAGGGTCTCGTAGTCCAATGAGCTTGTGTTGAGGTAGATCGCACAGTCTCGGTCTTCGGTTAGCTTGACGTAGAAAATTCCTGGAAGAAAATGTAGGTGTGAACAAGTGTCAATACGAGAAGATTATATTAATAATCTTACAAAATATTGATAAAGAATGCCTTTAACCTCATTAGGTATCATTACATAACTTCAATTTTAAAAGTCATCTATGTTTGTTTGTATTTGAATTAGAGATTGCAATCCGGATTATTCGAAATTCGAAAATATCTGAAAAATCCGGATTTTGAGGCTATAAAAAAATCCGGATTTTGACTTTGAAATCCGGTTTTTTCGAATATTTTACCCCAAAAAATTTATCATAAAATCATAAACCAAAATATCTATTGAATGCAACATGGATGCAAAACAAGCGAAGTTTTGATTGAACTTCGTCGCACAATAACGCGATATGCCGCATGCGTATTTTATGTGAATTCGCTAGTCGGCCATTGAGTTTTATACGAGACGCTGATTCTGAAACACCATATCGCTGAGTTTTAAAGAGCAGCTAAATCGGCAAATATCCCTTGCAAGTGTAAGTCATCATCATCATCATCATCTCAGCCATAGGACGTCCACTGCTGAACATAGGTCCCCCCAATGCTTTTCATGTTGCCTGGTTGGTAGCGACCTGCGTCCAGCGCCTTCCTGCTACCTTTATGATGTTATCGGTCCACCTTGTGGGTGAACGTCCCACGCTGCGTTTTCCGGTACGCGGCCTCCACTGCAAATTCAAATTATTTATTGCATGTCACTCCAGAACCTTGCTGCCCCATCGGCCGTCAGTTCTGCGTACTATGTGCCCTGCCCATTGCCACTTCAGCTTGTATCCGTCGGGCTAGTATGTCAGCGACTTTAGTTCGTTTACGGATCTCCTCATTTCTGATTCGATCTCGTAAAGAAACACCGAGCATAGCCCTCTCCATAGCACGCTGTGCAATTTGAGCTTCTGTATAAGGCCTATA